TACTTTTTTCAAGTAACTTGACCAACACTGGAAATCACTTTCTAAAATAGGAAATTGTTAATTTTACACAAACTAGCTAAATGCAGGTTTTTTTGTGGATTGCAGATTGAAAATGAAAACATACCACTCTTCTTGGTGATCTTCATCAAAGCGTTTTGAAGAATCTAAACAACAATATCTGCTGTTGCAGTCCCCACAGCAAAATTTTCTGTGGCATTTCTGGGCTTCCGTACCACTGTAGGCCAGGCAGTCGTCCCCTCCTGCTGTAACAGAGCAGACCGAGAAAATCAGAGAGGGGCAGCAAAAGTTAGCTCGTTTCAGGTCAATCAATTAGTTATTAAAATTAACTTTTCAGCACTGCAACATTTTGACTTTTAGGGAATTGGTGATTCACTGTCACTTTAGCTCTTGGTGGTGTTTAAGTGTACTACGCTGTACAGAGGTGATGTTTTCACACACTTATCTATGCTCAGCCCTGAGTTTGAAACCCTGCTGCTTCCACTTGGTGGTCTCTGAATGATGTAGTTTGTACTGATGCTAAATGATCGTTCACACGTTTCTTGTTAACTAGCGGGCAGCTCGAGTGACCAGAATATAGTGGATAAAAAAATATAACCTAAAACATGTGAAAATAGCCACTGACACTGACTGATTGTATATTCTTTTTTAAATAACTTTTATGGGTCTGTAACAAACTAATCCTACAGTGTTATTAAAAGGTTAAAACACAAGCTGTAACTTAAAAAAACAAAAGAAAAGAAAACATGTCTTGATGAGTTGTATGGCCTTTCATAAAAATGAAAAGTTTTCGGATACTTAGACGCTACGTCACTGACTTCGCCCTAAACGTGGTCTGAAGTAACATCACAGACTGCTTGGTGGTCAGCGGCTACAAGAAAACACAGCGGCCGTTTAAGGATGAACATAATTAAACTTACCGGATACACAAGGGGACATGATCACAAACAGAGCCAGCACGACTGCACAACACAGGCCTGACGCCATGTCCGTGTGTAAAACTTTCCCGGATTCACTCACGGACCCGGGAATCTTCCCCGACAGTTACCCTGATCCGCACAGACTGCTGCACAGATCGTCTATACACGAAGCCGCCTCACTCAGTTCGTGTTCCAGCCCACTGACACACTTATTCCACGGATTGTGCAGAATCACGGGTCTGTAAACACATCTTTACACACGGTTGCACCATAGACGGTATGAAACCGGTTACGAGCTGCGAACAAAAAGTCTTTTAAGGAATTGTTAACAGAAATGTTTAAAGAGACGAGGCTGCAGGCACGAGCGGACCTCCTCAGAGGAAGTTATTCTTCCCTCTTGTCGTCTTTTTCCGGTGAGTTATTGAGCTGATGAAAAAAAACTTTTTTCCCTCTTTTTTACAATTTAAATTAATGTAAAAATTATTGCGTATTTTATTTATTATCCGAATATTAATATTACCCAGTGCTAACTAGCTTGAATACCAGTAATTATTTTACACTATCTTATTACTTTGCATTTTAAAAAATAGTTTACAGACTTGTGATTCGCAATATATTAGAAATATTGTACATTTAACTCTTTGCTGTTTCTCACAAACCACCACAGTGAAATGCATTTTTACCTAACAGTTAAATCATAAGACATTATTACATTTTGGACAACTTGTTTTTAAAATTTAATATTTTGCCTGTAGTAGTATTTTTATAGTACAGTGTAAATATTTTGAGCCACTTGTCATTTCATTATGTTGTGGAAATGGGTGTAGCGATGTTTTTGGAAAAAGTGCTTACACATGTGCAAGTATACAGTATATAAGGCAAAAATAATGTCTGTATAATTCAAATTATTCTTCAGTACAGCCTGAAATAAGGCAGCTTTTATGTAAAGCTCTGCAGGCTTTTTGAAGGACATTCAAAGCTTTTATTTGCATGTTGGTGCTTTTTGTTCTGTTCTCAGTCAAGATGGTCCAATACTGCTTCCACACTGCTAACCAGGAATGCTTTTACTGCCTCGACAGTGTACTTGCCATCATTGTCATGATACATAATGAAAATACTGCCAATGAAACACTTGAATATTGTGTTTTGTCTCAAAATGCGTTTTTTCTGCATTTATTATTTGTCAGTTTGACACGATCCCCTGCACCACCTGCTGAAATGCAGCCCAAAGCATGAAAGAGCCTCCACCATGTTCTACAGATGTGTTTTACATTCACTGTCGTACCTCTCTCCTGACATCCTCCATACATACTGACAATTTTAAATTTGGATCCAGCACTCCACAAAACCTGTTGCCACTGACTTTCTGTCCAGTTTTATGTGTAATTGAACATAACTCGGACTCTTTGCCCACATTTCCCTTCCTTAAAAATGGCTTCTTGACAGCCACCTTCCCACTGAGACCATA